TGGGCCTAACATTTTTGAGCAGTACTAGGGCCTGCATAATTGATAAACATGTCAGTGTCTTCAAACGTAAAATATTCTATGATATTTTGTACATGTTGGGATACCTAGCACCTGAAGCCATGAAGCCCTTCTCATCTCTCTCATAATAAAACAGCTATAACACACTAAAACAGTGATTCTCTACCAGGGTGCTCTGACAAACACCTAAACAGGATTCACAAGATAAACCCAGATATTTCAAATAGTGTCAAAAACATTTTGACTTGTTGTGGTCCTTCCAAGTTCTTTGCAACAAAACTCTTCTATTACTTTTCCATAGTCAAGAAACGAGTGAAAGCTGAGAGCTGGTATTTCTTGAGGTTGAGAACCACTACTTTGTTAGGAGAATGAGGGCATCACAAGAAAGGCAATACTTGAAGCCTGATGACTTTGAATATGCCTCTGACTTTGATGACTTTGAACCAGGAGGAGGTGGATGAGGCCTTTGTCAACTGATAGAAGCTTCCAAATCACAGGACCCAGTTCCCATGGGGGGATTTTAATTAGGACATCTACTGAGAGGGAAATATAGCAATGCACAAGCAGTTCAGCAAATTCTCGGGGTGTGTTGGTGATAAAATTTTTTGATGTATGTGGTAGAGAGACCTACCAGGTAGGAAGCTCTTCTCAACTTTCTGCTTATAAACTGGGAAGAATTGAGAATGTGAAGGTGGAAGGTAACTTAGGTGACAATGATACCTAGTCAGATGGCGGCAACATAGAGAAGGATCTAGGTCGCTTGGTAGATCACAGACTTAATGCGAGTCTGCAGTGTGATGCAACTGTACAAAAGGCAAATATGGTTTTGGGCAGCATCAACAGATGCAGCTACATTAGGTGCAACACACAGGAGGTAACAGTGCCTCTCCACTCAGCATAAGTTAGGCTTCATGTACAGTATTATGTGCAGTTTTTGGCTCCACATTTTAAAAAGGACATGGAAAAGTCAGAGAGGGTCCAGAGGTGGGCAACAAGTTTGATAAAGGATTTGGAAGGTAAGTCATACGAGGAAAGGCTGAAGGAGCTAGGCATATTCAGCTTGCAGAAAAGTTGCTTAAGAAGGGACATTAACAGCAGTCTTCAAATACTTGAAGAGCTGCCAGAAAGAAGGAAAGCTTCTTTCCTCTTTTGCTGCAGACAATAGGAAATGGAGCAATAGCCTGAAGTTGTAGAAAAGTATGTTTAGACTGGACATTAGGAAAAATTTCTTCAGCGTTAGGACAGACTGCCTAGGGAAGCTGTGGACTGTCTAATCACTGGAGGTGTTCAAGGAGAGGCTGGGCAGCCACTGGTCAGGGATGATCTAGGCATAGCCGTGCCTCTGTTCTGCAACGCATATTCCCCATGAATCTGGGCTTTAATGGTTGCTGAATCGGACTAGGAGGGAATTCCACATGCACCCCCCTCCTTCCTCCCCCAGCTTTCTGCTAGATGTGTCAGGGGTGTTTGTTTTTTTAAGCCTTCCTCAGGGACAGTGGGTGTTGGCTGCAGCCAAACCCAGGAATTTTGACTTAAGTGTGCCAATGCTCTTGCTGGGACTTAAAGTTGGAGGCTTCTAGCTAGAGGGACTTACCTCTCTACTGAGGATCAGAACAACTGCAATATTTGGGGTCAGGAAGGATATTTTACTCCATGGTCAGATCGGTATGGACTGTAGGGGGTTTTGCCTTTTTCTGTAGCAGGGGCACATGGCCATCTTCCTGGGATCTCTTGGGAGCGTATTAACAATCTTCACAGCAGCATGATGTTGACCACTATGGTCCCCTTGCTTTACCTGTGGCAGGTTAGGGTGTTGTCTTGTGTTGTGTCAGGGTTGACTGCATAGGTTTGCTACAAGGTTAGAAAATTAATTTGTACAGGGTGATTTTGATAGGGATAATTCTGCTTCAAGCAGGGGTTAGACCAGATGTCCTATGGAGGTTCATTCCAGCCCTAGTTCTCTATGATTCTCTATGACCACAAAATGATAGAGTTCAAGTTCCTACGATAAGGAAGAAAGAAGAGTAGCAGAATAAAGACACTGGACTTCAGAAAAGCAGACTTTGGCACACTCAGGAAACTGGTGGGCAGGATCTCTTGGGAGGCAAGTCAGAGGGGAAAGAGTCCAGGAGAGCTGGCTGTACTTCAGAGAGGCTCTTTTAAGGGAGAAGGAGCAAACCATCCTTAGAAGGAAGAATGGGAGGCCAGCCTGGTTTGACAGCAATCTCTTCAAAGATCTGAAACTCAAAGGAATCCTACAAAAAGTAGAAACTTGATTATAGCATTAGGGAAGAGTATAAGAGTATCACAGGGAAAAAATCAAGAAGGCCAAGGCACAATTTGCAATGCAACCAGCAAGAGGTATAAAATGCACTAAAAAGGTATTCTGCGACTGTCAAGAGTAAGAGGAGGACCAAAGAAACCATAGGTCCCTTATAGAATGCAGAAGGTAATCTAGTTACAGATGCTGCACAGGAAGCTCAAATATTTAATTTTACTTCACTCTTCACAAATGGGGGCAGCTACCAGATGATCAGTGCAGTCATCTTTGGCAGCAAAGACAGTGAAAGACAAATAGCCTACAGTAATGGCAAAACAGGTTAGGGATTACTTAGAGTAGCTAGATGCTTTCAAATTGTCAGGGATAGATGGGATGTACCCCAGGTTACTAAAGGAACTAACATGTCAATTCCTTCAGTATCCCTATCCAAACCATCCTATACAAATCTATAAACAAACGGACCTAAGTCAGTAGAAACCCTAATTTTCTTCAATTTCTATGAAACCATCCCAATACATGAAGTATGCATTGAAGGGATGAAGTCACGAAGGCCAAAGCACAATTGGAGTTGCAGCTAGCAAGCAATGTGAAGGGTAACAAGAAGGGTTTCCATAAATATGTCAGTAGCAAGAGCAACAGTCTCAAGCTGTAGCAAGCAAAGTTTAGGTTAGATATTAGGAAGAATTTTCTCTCTAGGAGGGTAGTTAAACACTGGAACAGGTTACCCAGAGAGGTGGGATCACCATCCTTGTGGGTTTTCAAGACCTGGCTAGACAAAGCTTTGTCTGGGATGATCTAGTTAGTGATGGTCCTGCTTTGAGCAGGGAGTTGGACTGGATGGCATCCTGGGGTCTCCTCCAACCCGGATTTTCTCCGACTTCTATTATGTAATTTCAGAGCCATTAGCTACCCTCTTTGAGCTCCTGTGGAGGTTGGGTCAGGTCACCAGATGACTGGAAAAAGGCAAATATCCTGCCGATCCTTAAGAAGGGGAGGAGGAGGATCCAGGGAATTACAGACCAGTTGGTCTGACATCGATACCAGGGAAGATCGTGGAGCAAGTCCTCAAGGAATCTATTGTGAAGCACCTACATGAGAACAAGGTGTTCTGGTGCCTGAGTCCAGAATGGATTGATCAAGAGCAACTCATGCTTTACCAACCTGGTTTCCTTCTGTTAAGTTGACAGGCTCTTTGGATAGGGAGAAATTAATGGATGTGATATACTATGAGTTTAGCTACGTTTTTGACACTGTCTCACATGACCTTCTCATTAACAAACTAAGGAAATACAGAGTAGATGAATACTGTAAGGTGGATATGTAACTGCTTCAAGCAGTCATCAGTGGGTCAAATATCTAGTTGGGAGAAGGCATCAAGTGGACCTCTCAAGAGGTGCGTCTAACATCTTATTGTTCAACATCTTAATTAATGATTTGGATGATGGGACTGAGTGCACACTTAGCAAATTTCCAGGTGGAAACACCAAGTTAGGTGGAATGGTAGATACTCTAGAGACTAGGGCTACAATCCAGAATGGCCTGGAAAGACTGGAGAAATGGCTTGCAATCAATCAGATGAGATTCAACAAGGACAAGTTCAAAGTCCTGTACCTTGTACAAACACAAATGCATGCACAAATACAGATGGGGAATGATTGGCTAGGCTGCAAGTAGCACAGAGAAGGTTACAATAGACCATAAGTTGAATATGAGCCAGCAGTGGGACTCCTGTTGCAAAAAAGCCAACAGCATGCTGGGTTATATGAATAGTAGTGTCACTTTCAAATCAAGGGAAGAGATTCTTCAGCTCTGTTCAGCGCTAGTGATGCCTCATCACTGTGGCCAGTTTTGGGCCCACACTTCAAGAAGAATGTGGATAGATTTGAAAGAGTTCGGTACAGAGCAACAAAAATGATTAGAGGCCTGGGAAGCAAGACTTATGAAGAAAGGCTGAATGAATTAGGGTAATTTAAATCTGGAGAAGAGAAGACTGAAAGGGGATTTGATAACAGTCTTCAAATACCAGAAGGGCAGATTGAGCTGTGGCAGTAGGGGACAGAAGTAGGAGCAACTGCCTCAAACTGCAGCAGGGGAAATTTAGGTTGGTGAGCAGGAGGAACTTTCTGATTATGTGGATGGTTAGGCATTGTAACAGGCTACCTAGTGAAACTGTGGACTCTATCCTTGAAAATTTTCAAGAAAAGTTTGGACTGTTGCCTAGGATGGTTTAAGTCAGGGACCATCCTGCCTTCAGTGTGGAGCTGGACTGATGAAATCATGAGGTGCCTTCTAGCCCTACTTCCTATGATCCCATTCTACTGAAATGCTGGTACAAAATGTTGAGGGGAAAAAAGTTTTGATTTGTTTTGTCTTACAGAACAGAATATATTTAAGGAAAAGCTTTTTTAAAAAGTGCTTCAAGGGAGAATTTTTAGGGAACTAGACCCTAATTAGCTACATTTTATAGAAGATTCGCTAAGTGGTAGCAGCCTGGTTCTCTCTCCCCATCACAGGGAACAGCAGTCCAGACAGGGGCAGATTTAGCCTAACAGCGTGCTGTTCATAGCTTCTGATCCAATGCACATAACAGGCATTTGCAACTGCAGTGTTATCTACTAGGACAAATACTTAAATAAAAATACTTAGCATGTATACACTGATGTATTTTTCCCAAAGGTCTTCAAAACTTAAGTGGTCTAACCTGGGTCCAAGCTGATCAGGACATTCCTTTCGCTTCCTTGACTCTGCCCTAGATGGGTCAGAGGAATTTTCTCCCATCCCACTCATCTTGAACACATATCAGCAACTGAAAAAAGAAACAAATAATGTGTTTCAGTAGAAGGAACTCATTTCTCTTATACTTCTCAGTGACTTAGTCCCCATTCCCCATCCCCCCAGCAACTTTATTTTTACCATAAAGAGTTGCATTTTACATTTGCAAAGTGCTGATATAATTTGTCTGAAAGATGCTACACAAACTAAAATAATGCATTTGTGCCCTTACAAAATTATACCCAGCTGTTTACTTACAGAAAGTTTTCTGATGGCCAATTAAACCACTATAATGGTTTTTTTGTTTTGTTTGGTTTTGTTTTTAAATCAGCAGTATGATGGTAAGACAAGACAAGTAAATTTTGTGTTTAATTGTGCAAGGTTAAAGCAGAAGAGGGAAGAACAATGTCAACCAATAACGTGTCAGAAATTAAACAGTTGTCATAAAAAGGCAACACGCATAGCTTTAGTTAAAAGACGAAAGCCTCAAGCTTTCACAAGTGCATGAACAATATAACTGAATTATGACATCAGCAAGAATTGGATATCTCCAATAAATGCACATTCAATTTTGTAGATAAAGAGCAATTAAATCTACTTCATAGGACAAATTATTTGCTAAGCCAATATCAATTGACAATTGTTACAATAGGACACAAAAGCTCCAAACAATGATCAGAACTGCATTGTGCTAGGAACTGTACAAACATGTAAGGTATTTATTTCCTGTCCCAGAATACTCAGGTAAGTGCAATATGCAATAGGTGGAAAATCAGATAAGAGACAGATGAGAAGATAAGGACGTAAAATGAATACATTATGGATAATGAAGTGAGTCTCAGTTCGCCACCTGGAAAGCCACCGTCAATTTTGTAGGATCATGCCATAGATAAATTTTTCAAAATAATCTGAAAGAAAACATTGTAAAAAAACCAACCTCCCTCCTCTCCCCCCCCAATGGTATCTTCTTGTTCACCGATCATGCTGTGCAAAGATTCCAGTTTTCAAAGTATATCTTGTTACATACAGAAACTAGAGATGTTATGGAGATGCCTTATCCATAAGAAATGCCCACTTCAAGTTATACACCACTGAAATCACATTTTGATGGACTTAATGAAACTACAAGCCTCATAAGGGCCCTCTGTATAGGTGAATTTTATCTCAGTACCTAAGACTGAGACAAGAGACTAAACCTGCTGTATAGCAGCTTCTTACAGAGCCTTGAGAATTGAGATATTTTATCTTGCTACTTATTGAGAAAAGAAAAAGCAGCTTAACTCTGCTACAGCTAGTTGCTAGGCTCATTTCCTATAAAAAAACCAAACAACCTAGCTATATGGAATTTCTAACTTTTTTGTTTTCAATGAATGGATCCAGATTTACAGGATGCCACTGTACCAACATCTCAAAGGCATTTTGTTACTGCAAATGAGCCAGACTTCATCCCATATGGATTTGACAATTCGTAATGTTAGTTTGTATGCTTCAAGGTAAGATAAATAGTACAACTAAACTATGAACATTTAAAGTAGCCCCCCCGTCAATTGTTTATACAGGAAATAAATTTTTGCAGCATTGTTAAATACTGTATTCATCTAGCATTATATATATAAGATTATGCAGTATACAATTCCTCAAAAAGATCACTTTGAAAAATAATTATCTCTGTCAATAAGAAAGCATTCACTCAAAGAATACAACAACGATTATGCAAGATCTTTAAGTAACTCTCCAACAATGAATTAAAGTGTCCCTAAGTTTCCTGTACACAAAAAAATCCACAACATTTAAAAGACTGTCCTGAATGAGATCTAAAACACTTTGCAAGACTTAAAATACATGTTGCTGATCTTGTTCTCATGAAATATTTATAGGAAAAAAAAATAAAATTAACTGTGTGTAGTTTAACATTTCCAAGGATCTCTTTTGATTATTTATAGGTGTGGTGTGTTTCCAGCACAAGATAGCTAGAGTTCTCCCTCACTAGTTCTTAAAGATTTTTGGCTTGGTGAGAATCTGTTGGGTTTTACAGGGAAACCAACCTTTGTGCTCCTTACCAGCTTCAGTATTTTGATGAACTGGACAAGGAATTCCCCAACCTTTAAGTATGATTCACAGCAGAAATGTTTTATTGTTTTTATACCCAACAGGCTGGCCAAATGTCTTCTTAACAAGCTGGAATCTAGTTAGCTAATATTTTTGGAGAAGCTCAACTATAGGTAAGTGGTTTCTTTTTTCTAAGGCTGCAGGTCTACAGTTTGAGATGAAGTTATATATTGCTGACCAAACCTCAAAAGATAATATGGTCAGGCTCCTGGTTATCCACTTCCTTATCCAATTTAAAAAAAAATGGTTTTGCTTTTCTTTTCTTTTCCCTTATGTGACTGTATACTGTTTTTTTTTAGGAATAAAGTACTTCAAGGAATACTTGAGTTTTTTATTGAGTTTATAATTCAAACAAACATGAACATTTCTGAAGTGGTTTAATATAACTTTGAAGCACTTCACACCTCAAAAAGAAAGTGTACAATCATATAGGTTTGGCCAGCAATATATCACTTAGACTGCTAACAAGAAAAAGATATATTTTCTGTATTACTCTGGGACTGAAGATGTGGAAAACACCTATTAGCAAACTGGCTCCAAAAGCTTGTTTATGCAACTAATCAGAAATTTTAAATAACCTATTGAAACAAACTCTCTTGTGAACTAGTTTAAGATAGGAAGATCCTCAAATTACAATGTTTTCCCTCTTAGTATGAAGCAGGTCTCACCACTAAGTGAATATTTGTTTCAACTCTAAAATAAATGAGGGTGAAGGATAGCTAAAAGGGAAGGGACATATAATCCCTTTCCACTAGGAAATTAAAAACTAGCTGTTCAGCACAAGACCATGAAGACAAAATACGATACCAGCCATATTAATATAAAAACAGATCAGCAGTTTTCTTTTTAACACCTGGGCAGAGATATGGGTCACTCGCCAAAAAAAGAGACCCTGAAATATCATAAACTCATCTTATTAAACCCAGTCAGTCAGGCTACTTCCATAAAAATAAACTCAGGATTTCTTATCTTCAATCCAGATATTCCCTTTTAGTGGCAATGGAGCAGGTTATCCTGCTGAATCACTGCGCTTGTCAGACAAACATACTATATTGCTTGGAAAAAAGGTTGCTCAGTAACTGTTGCTCTTCAGATGTACCGTCTCTGTGTATTCCTCTCTTGGGGATGCATGCATCTTGTGCACCAGCACCTGGAATTTTTGGCTAGCAGTGGCCACTGTACTATGTCTGCAAACTCAGGGCCCCTCTACACATGCAGGTAAAGATGCAATGGGTTCTAACATGCAATCTATACAATCGTGCCTCCTGCCATGCTACAAGGCACGCAAGACAGGATGTACAATGGGATCATGCAGGTTCCATCATTTTATACTGCCAGTGCAAGTGGAGCCTGGGATCACAATCCCGGACTCCCCCTGCACCACCTCCCACAGCTGTGAACCCCATGGCTGACAGAGCTCAGCAGGGCTCACAAAGCTCCTGGCACTGCCCCGACTGTGAGCTCCACAGCTGACATCAGCTGCAGGGTTCACAGTGGGAGTTGCAGGACTTCCAGTGGGAAGAAAGCTGCCCTACTGCAAGCCACATGACCAGCTATGCTGCCCACATTGTGAGCCCCACAGCCAACAAGGCTCAGTTGACAATACTGCCATCACTGTGAGCCTTATCAGCTGCTTGGGCCACTGGTTGATGGGGCTCCCAGCCACAGGGGAGCACTTAGCAACATGTTCCGTTAACAGCTTGCTTAGAACAAGCTACAAAGTTATTAACCGTTTTTTGTGGAATAACTTTGTAGCGTATCACTTGTTTTATCACGCCATTGAATACTGATGTGTAGCTGGGTCACAACTTAAGGTGCGATTACCTGGTTAATCATACCTTAAGTGTAACGTGTAGAGGGGGCCTCAGTGCTTTCACACTCATTCCCAAAGGCATAAAAAGGGCAGAGCAGATTCTCAATTCCTTTGCCAATTCAGAACATAGGTGGCAAGCAGAATCTAGGCACAGAACTACCATCATCATTGCAAGTTACCATTTTTTTCTTCTACAAGTGCTCTTCTATCTGTACTCTACCCTTGGTGACTTTTACACAGTAACTTGATCCTAGAGATGCATCCTTCAATCTATTTAAATACTGATTGTAATATAGCGCTGCCTCTATGAACGCAGGTAGCTTTTCTACAAATGTCAGAAATAGGAATACTTCAGGAAGAAGCTGCATAGATCCTTGTGGAATAAGCTGTAACCTGACTGGGAGGTTTTCTTCTAGCTATAGTTCAATACAATCTGAGATCAGTGGACCTATGTCTTCATTTCAAAGCATTCCATAATCTAGATCCTGAATATTTACTCCATTCAACTGCATACTCCATTCAACTGCATGAGCAAAGACTAGGCACTTTCCAAACATAATGCATTGTATTTATCCAAACATAATGTAAACCATCCATCAATGCTCATTAAGAAGCTGGTGCTGTGTCAGTACTGTAGTATTAGCAGTCCCATGACTGACCAGCTCCTCTCGTTTTCAAGGCTTCTTATATGACCCTTTGACAGGTGGTACCCTTCACTGTTTCTGGAACAGTTAAAGGAAGTACAGTAAGTTACAAAGAAGTATGAACTTGTCTGGTTTATGCTCTTAGCAGATGTGCAGACAACCAGAGTGTACTATAAGGAACTGGTCTTGGTTTATGTAGTTAAGTAAATTGCACACTAATGCAGGGGTGGTCAATCTACGCATGTGTGCCACAGGCAGCCTTCGTGTGGCGCACAGCAGACTGGGCATGTGGCAGGTAGAACAGAAAATAGAAGCAGACTGGGCAGCAAGAACAGGGCAGGTAACAAAAAGCAAAGCAACAGATCAGACAGGGAGCAGAACAGCCAATAGGGCAAGGAAAAGGGATCAGAGGGGCATCTGGAAAGGCTGTAGGGCTAAGTTGTGGCATGCCTGCTAAAAAGGTTGGCC